AATAATAATAATAATAATACTTGGGTAATTAGATCAAACTTATCATAATTTCTTCTTCTTTCTCTAGAAATTAGGGAGTATTAATTAATGGAACGAGTTATCAATAAGAAAATTAATTAATGATGATAAGTATAATATTTAAAAATAATAATAAAAAATAAAACAAACGGGTCAACACGTCAACCCGCGGGTTGACCCTAACCCGACCCGTGACTCGTACGGGTTAATAATACGGGTTATCTACTGGTTGCGGGTTGAGATGTGTAGACCCTAACTTGTTTTTTTAGAGTCGGGTTAAGGTCGGGTTGATGAATCGAGTGGATTTTTGCCATGTCTATATGTAACCCTTCTAGGGCCCGTTTGGATGGCGAATTTTCCCCTTAAGTTTTCTCTTTTCAAAAAGAGGAATGCTACGGGCAGTCTCCCATCTGCACTCTCTTGAGCACTTGCTGTTCTATTATTGACATGTGGCAATATGATTGACGTTCAATCAGCAACCGGTTTCAAACTGGTTAGTTCTACTCTTACTTCTATTTTTATTTTATTTTCCTATAAATTTAGAGTCCCATAATAATCCCAATCCAACGACCACATTTCAAACTGGTTACTTTTACTTTATTTTCATTTATGAAAATTAAATGAGATTCAGATATGGTCCCAAATTAACCCCAATCCAACCACCAAATTTCTTTCAAAATGTTTTGTCATCAATAGATTCAACTAATGCGGCCTCCACTCTCAATAATAGCTATATCAACCGTTTGAAAAAAAAATGCAGCAATTATTAGAAAGAGAAATTTCTTATCCAACCCACCGAAATATGAGAACCAAATAGCAGATTTTTTTTATTTTTTTCCCATCGAAGTATAAACACGTGACACATGCTAGATTGTTTCTACCTAACATTCTCTAACTCACTCACAAAGCACATCAACACCAATATATAGTTTTTTTTTTTTTAGGAAGAACACCAGTATATAGTCCTGTTAACAATTAGAAAATAATGTTAATAAATTATGTTATTTTTTATTGATCTAAAATATTCTAATATAAATAATAAAAGACAAAAAAAATTATATTAAAAAGAAATATATAATGATAAATGCATTTTATATATAATATATATTTATTCAATTAAGTTCTTGATGGTGCCAAAGTCAACCAAAGAAAACGATGAAAGGAACTATATTGCAATTTTAAAAGTTTAATTACCTAATGTTGAATTTTAAAGGTTATAGATAAATGAGCAAGAGAAATGAAGGCTGATTCATTCTTCAATAACTAATTATCTCTTGGCCACCAAAGAGATAAAACT